TGTTTCCTAATATCCAACCTAGACCTCCCCCACTGCAACTTGAGACCATTGCTCCTTGTTCTGTCATCTGCCACCACTGAGAACAGCCGAGCTCCATCCTCTTTGGAAACCCCCTTCAGGTAGTTGAAGGCTGCTATCAAATCCCCCCTCACTCTTCTCTTCTGCAGATTAAATATCCCCAGTTCCCTCAGCCTCTCCTCATAAGTCATGTGCCCAGCCCCCTAATCATTTTCATTGCGCTCCACTGGACTCTCTCCAATTTGTCCACATCCCTTCTGTAGTGGGGGGACCAAAATTGGACACAATACTCCAGGTGTAGCCTCACCAGTGGAGGACCTGACAAATTTTGTGAGAACAGTGCCAGACAAATTCACAATAAAATGATTAAAAGTAATAGTATGCCTTGCCCAGGAAAACAATAGAATAGAAATACTGAAATCATCAAGATGCTTTGATACAGACATGGTATTCCTATTCTGATAGGATAATCAAGAAGGATATACACGGAGGATAACAACAAAATTACATCCTCTTTCTCCTTTATCTTTCCTTTCTTTCTATTCTCCTGAGATACTTCCCTGACCAGGAAACATTCTGCTTCCTCCCCGCCCCCAAAGAAGTTAATATGAATGGTATAGCATGTTAAGGTTGTCTTTAAATAATTGGGGGAGGGGGTGCTATAACTATAGATGGTCAATATATAATATGTTGCTTAGTATTGGTAATTCTGTAATAAGATATGTACTTAGGTGTGTCAAGACTATGTAAACGACCCAAATGATCCTTAGGAAGCCCCAGGAGGATAACCAATCAGAAAGGGTCACACAAAAGGAAATGAAGACTTAATCTCTCATTGGTTATTGGTAGCTTCTCACTGGAAAAAGAAAAATAGCCCAACCATGGAGGATGGTTAAAAATATATAGGAAGTTGTGGTTATGGAAGAATTCACACACCAATTACGTACTCAGCAAAATTGACAGAGGACAGATAGATACGAAGATATTTGGTTATCTTTTATTCAGTACTCAGACAAAGTACATTCACCTGCAAAAAGCCCAGCACACCTGTCCAATTATTTTTAATATTAACATTTGATAGACATACCTTGTCTGTTAAATGTGTATATAAAGATTTCACTCAATTTAATAAAATCACTCGAAACATAGGTATTGTAATGATGCTCACTCTGTAACATGGTAGCACCCTGTTAAATAGAAAGATCCAGTGACTATATTCCTGTATCATGTCTCTTTAAACAAAAGATAACTGCTGTAATGGATTGTTTTGTTTCTGATAATTGCATGGCAAGGATTTGTAAACTTGTTAAAAACTTCCCAAATAAATAGTTTAAAAAAATTAAATAAATGAAATCTCCCTCCCCTCCAAAAAAACAATATCTATAACACTCTTTTCATTTCCAATCATATAGCAGCTGGATAGTTTTGTGGCTTTCTTTATCATCAGACACATACAGGGTTTTTACAAAACCCCATTGCCTTCAGCATGCTATCATTCTCCACTCTTCTTTAAGGGGCCTGAGCCTGCAGAAGCGGGCAGGAGCGGGTCATAACAGAAGGCAAACACTCTGGAAAGGCTTTATTCGAACACAGGATGAACACAGATAGCCTCTGATGACATCATAATGTAGGCATCATGCCTATGGTTACAGGGAGCTGGCATCAAGCCTGTTTCCCAGCTGGCTTAGGATGTGTTTCTGAGGACACCATCCAGATGTTATTCACCTACCAAATGTAGGGTGCTTGGAAAAAAGACTGTCTTGCCAATAGGGAGGGAATCCTAAAGAAGGGATTTCCAGAGAAGGTCTCTGAGAATCAGCTTGTACCTGTAGCTTCCAGGTAAGTGACGCACCTGTAAGCCTCAGCATTAAATCAAAAGACTTAGCTCTGCTTATCTTCTCCATCCCGTCCCATTGTATTGTTACACCCTATTCCATGTTTGTTGTAACATGATAATTTTGCCTACAGTAACAAAGGCATCAGAGTTCTCTCTGATCAAATTGTCCCACATTCTGCTCGATAATTCAGCGCAAAGGAATGAAATTCTCCATCTGCTTTCTCCTGCCTGCCAAGGTATGTCTAAGCTGCATTGTGAACCTGGGTCTGCAGGACCCAGGCTTGTGGACTCAGGGTTTCCGGTCCACATTTGAGCATCTCCACTGCTTTGTAAATCTGGACTTCCATTTGCTGGACCCAGGTCTCACAGCTGTGCTAATGCCTCTGTACTACACTGCGCGGACCTTCTGACTCAGGTCTGAGGCTTGAGCTGCATCCACATTGCAAAATGAGAGGAATTGTATCCAAGTCAGAACAGGATTCAGGCTCTGACCCATCCCTCTAGTGATGTCCTAGCACCTGGGTACTGAGTGCTTGCTGACCTGAATCAGACTGATTTGCGTGTGGACGGAAGGAAGGTTTGGGCTCAAACCTGAGTCAGAGCCCAGGCTTAGTGTGCAGTGTAGACAGACCCCCAAAGGAATGCCTGCCTTCTTCTCAGCTCCCTCTGTTTATCCAGCAGGAGCCAGGCCTTTTTGACTATCTAGTCTTTGCACTCTCAGCTCTCCTATAAAGCTCATGCCACCTAGAAGAGCTTACCTGTATTTCTCCACCTGACTCACTCCAGTTTCAAATCTCATCTTCAAGCCTTAGGCCAGAGTCTCCTGTTCATTATTACGGCAAAACTGCCTTAAAACTGGTACATCCAGCTACCAGAAAGGATCACTGGAGTGCAGAGAAATCCTCTGGTGCCATCCAGATGCTGTAGACTTTCATGCTGACCATGTTGCAAAATCCTTTATAGAGATGAATAATATGAGACAGCTGTTGCTCCAATACCACCCCTCTCCTAACCTGCCAAGCAGGCTGCACGTCTGGGGAAACAGGGACATTTCTACACCCCTGCAAGCCTCAGCAGCAAGAACAGTTCCTCGGGACCATTGTCAGACAATTCAGTTTACAGCAAGAAGATCAGGGGCCACAAAATGGCCTAAAGACACCTGTTCACTCCCCCTGCACTCTGGGTGTTCTGCTCCATACAGTTCAGACAGACTGGAAGACCTGGGCTAAGATCTTTTCTCCCTTCCCTAGACATACACACACCCGCCAGTACCTATCCCCCTTTGTTATTAGCAGGGCTCTGTGTAAATCACAAAATTTTGTTTAGAAAATTAATGATAGTATAAAGGGGCAAAGTACTGAATGTCACAGTGCATACATAAGTAATATTACAACTAAAGTCACCAGTAAACACAAAAATATACAGTTCCCTAAAGGTCACTAGCAAGGGCTACCATGTGGTTATGTCTAGCTGCACAGGGCAGTGAAAGGCTCTGGCAAGGAGGAAGCAGTAGGACATTACCCAGCTTTAAATAGCACCATAGACATTGGAGACACTGCTTGGGCATGTAGAGAGCCTATATAGGCTACATACCCTTGGGGGAGGAGGGGGGGAATCAGGCATGTAGGGCACTCCACTAGCTTAAGCCACACCTCACAGTCTACATTGTTATTTATACCCATGGTAGCTGGGCATGCAGTGTCTGTACTCTACACACCACTGTAAGTGTAGACGTACCTTGAGTTAAGCAGTGATCCCTGATGTACTGGACTGTAAACTTTTAACACGTACGATGCACTGTCAGCGATAAATGCAGTACTATCATCAAAATCCACCCCAAAGGTATTCTAGCATTTTACAATAGCTTGTGCAATGGTGTTGTAATTAACAAATCATATCAGCCAGCACAACTTTCAGTTCTGAATTAGATGTGTCTTCATCGTTTAGGCCTTGCAAAACAAAATAAAATGTGACACATATGGATTGTGAGCATCAGTCGATTTGACAGTGATCATGGACAAACAATCAGACTGCTTTAGCAATGCTATAATCTCATCCTTGTGACAATTGGTAACATTATATATTCATGTCTTAGTGAGGCTGATGAAGGAATCGATCAACCATTTGCTACATTAGGACTGAAGAATTCCCATAGCTTTTGGTTGTCCATATTTGTGCAAACAAACCCCTGTGTAAAGTTAAAATTTAAAGTTACGTACTTTACAGTTTTCCACAGAATTTTGAAATGAGGAATTTTTGTTCCTTCACAAGTAAAGCCGTTGCCACAATTTGAATTTCCATCTTTCTTTTGGTGAAAACCCAAATCCAGCTGCCTGTCAACAGACCCTTTTTGGTAGTGATCAACAGTAGTATTGCAGGAGGTACAGAGGAGGTTGCCTCCATCACTGTGTAAAACTCCTGGTGGATATCGGTGACTGGTACTTGACGAGATCTGCGGCAGACACCTTTTTAGCTTTTCTTAGAGACATCCAGTTTCCTGTTTCAGCGTTTCCCACCTAGATTGCATTTAGATCAATTCACTTACACAGCACTCTATGTTGCGCATGCAGAAGAACAGGACACACAGGTGCGTAACAGCTGGGCTGCACAGTTTGCTACGCTGATTTTTTGGATAAATTACTTTATATTATACACTTGAGAATATTGAAAAAAAATATGGTATTGAAGTATTTTCATGATTTCCAGGCATTCCATGAAATCATGATTTACACAGGGCCTTAACTATAAGTCCAGAGCTGAGACAGCTGATCAGAACTCCAGAGAAGGCTGAATGTGTATGTCCATGTCCAAGCTCAGGGCCATCTCTAGTTAGCAAGCTGATGACTGAATGCTTCCATTTACTCTCCATATGATGGCCCTGATTCTCCACTACTTTGCACTTTCGGACATTTACATGAGTTCCCAGTAAGTGTAAAATGGAGCCCTCAGATGACTGTAGAGACCCTTGAGAGAGTCCCATGTGTGAGTTAGAAAGTTTGATTCTTCGCATGGGTGTTTGCATGTGCATGTTTGCTTGTGTGCATGCTTGTCTGTTTGGACTGTGGTATGTAGCTAGAGACAGAACCTGCCACAAGGTGAGCTAGAAAAGTCCTTGAACCTCCTGCCTTTGGTTCATTCTGTCATCATGGCCTCTGGGTTTCTGGTACCAGTCTTGAAGCTGCAGGGTTTTGTTTGCAGACACCGCAGTGTGATGAACTCCACTATCAGCCAGTCAGAAAGCGAGGTCTCTTCCATGGCCTGGATCCCCCACAGGGAAGACCTTCAAAGATACCTGGATGAAGGGGAATATCCTCCCTTTCGGTCTGTTGCAATGTTTGAGAGCAACTTCATCCAGGTAAATGGGGACTGGACATTGAAGTGGGAGGGTTGGATCGCAGACCTGGGAGCCTTGAGTACTTGGTTCCAGCACCTGGCTTTACCACTGACTTTAAGACCTTGGGCATATCACATCACCAATCTGCAAAATGGGGATGGGGCAGAAAGGGGATAGTAACATCACGCCTGTTCAACAAGCATAGAGATTTAACAGCTATTGGAACCAGAGATCAGTAGAAGCATCTCCCTGGCAGTTTTAGGCATCTATCTCTCAGCTGTAATCCACACTGGGTGGCGCTGTCCCTGTGTAGCGGTGGGGGCCAGGTCACACGTAGGGGTTGATGAGCCAGCTACCGTGTTAAGTAGCTGAGGTGCGTCTTTTGGCTCAGGCAGTAAAGCTCATATGTTAAGACCCAGAGTTCCCAGGTTCGATCCCTACTGCACACTACCCACACAGGTGTGCAGTGTTACAGAAGGAGGGAGTGGCCAGGTGGAATAGTGCAAGGAGGTTCATTCCCATGCGCACAGGCCCCCTCCTGGATCATACTAGAAACTTGGGTCTTATCAGTCTACTGCTAAAGCAGAATATGTCCCCTTCTAGTCCACGGGAGAGGCCTCAGACACTCCCCTTCTGCTCCCATGGGTCGGAAGGGAAGATACCCTAAAGGTTAACATAAATGCTGAAGAGTTTATCTACTGCCCCCAATCCCAGAGCTGAAAGAGATCCCTGGGTGTAACCCCCTTTCTCAACATGCTGCTATTTATACGGGTGCCGTATGCAGGCGTGCCGATCACAGCTCCACCACACCAGGCACTGTACAGACATGCCAGAGAATGACAGTTCCTGTCACAAAGAGCTCACAGTCTAGGTTATGATAAGAAGCAGCAAGTGGACAAAGCAAATAAATCAGATGGAGATTTGAGGGGGAAGTAGCAGTGAAGTGAGCAAGTTATTGTACAGTATCCACTCCCTTGTATTGCAATGTAGCTATTGCCATGATATCTCAGGCTTTCTGCACAGATTACTAGGAAGGGCAAGAACGTGGACGTCCATAATCATCCGACCGAGGCCACCATCGGCATCATCTCCACCGACAACAAACTGCCACTGCCCAACATAATGCTTATCGCTCGCCCAGTGCCCAGGCAGAACGGCCAGGTCTCCGCAGGGTGCCGCACTGAGCAGCTGGTGCTCACCAGGTGAGTTCACAAAGGTCCTGCCCTTACGCGGGCTGGCTTTGGGAGGCGGGGGTGTTGACTCACTCATGTAGCCTCCTGGGGTGTATCTATGCTGCAGCCAGGAGGTTTGATTCCCAGAGCGAGTAGACAGTCAACTAGCTCAGCTCAAGCTAGTACCCTAAAAGTAACAGTGTGGACGTTGCCGCACAGTCAGCAGCTGGAGCCAACCTCCCAAGCCCAAGCCTGCCTGAGGCCCTGGGTCTGAGCCCAGCTGGCTAGCCTGAGTTGCTGCCTGCACCACAACGTCCGCACGGCTCTGGCTAGTTGTGACGGGTTGGGGCACAGAAACTCCCCCAGGACTGTCACTAGATGTTCTGGGATACCACTGAGAACAACCCCCCAGCCGGAAAACGCTCCCCTCCACTCCTGTCTTCAGCTGGCTCAAGAGATGGCCCCTCCACCCCAAAGACATGCCTGAAAGAAACTTGGACAAAGGACAGTAACTACGGGGGTGTACGCGATTGCTGGACCCAGGCCATAAACTACAACGTTGGTCTCACAAGGATTGGGCCCAGATTAGGAAGGAGTCCAGTCTGTGAAAGAAGCTTATTGGAACATCTCTAAGGGTGAGACACATCTAGGGACAGTCCTGAGGGAGTTTCTGTGACCCAACCCGTCACACTCATGTGCTAGCTTAAGCCTAGCTAGCTCAGTTTCGTCTACCCGCACTGGGAATCCCACCTCCCAGCTGCAGTACAGACATACTCCTAAAGGAAAGGGAGAGAACACAGTTATACCCTGGGCTAAAGTCTGTAGATTAGTATCACCACAGGGCGTCCGCCCAGGTGAGTATGTCTACACTGCAGCTAGAGGGGAGTCCACCCAAGCTAGAAAATATACCCGTGTGCTAACTTTGATTGAGCTTGCACACCAAAACCAGCAAGGCAGCTGTAAGGGCGCAGGTAACGGGATGAGCTAGCCACCCCAGTATAATTCTGTCCAAAACCTTAAGTGTGTAGGTGGCTAGCCCGTGCCACTGCAGCTACACTTATTTTCATTGCGCTACCTCGATCAAAGCCAGCGTACGTAGGCCTACCCAGGCTGGAAATTACACCTCCAGCAGCAGAGTAGAGGTGCCCTGTGAGGCCAACCCGGGTGCAGAATGCTAGTGGGAGTAACACAGCTGAACTCTTTTCCCCGGCTCTAGGGATTGCCCAGGTGGAAAGTCAAGATGCCTTTGCTTCTGCTCAGACACAGCAGGGATCTAACCCAGGCATTCTGGCCAGCATCGTCATCTGTTTATAAAATTGATGTGCACAGAACAGCCGCTGCACTAGCCTGGGTGGTCCCGGCACCAGACTCCCTGCTGTGCAAAGTGCTTTGGCGCTTAACTTTGGTGCTTTAACTCCCTGTCTGTTGCCCAGTGTACTGGGTACCCGGAGACAGACCGCAGCTCCAAAATAGGATTGATTCCCTATAGTTATCCCAGCTTCTTTTTTTAGAGTCTCCCAGGGCTATATTGCCTGTCTGAGACTGGAGCATCTCCCTAGGGAATAGAGTTCTAGGATTCCACTCACCTACAAGCAGAAGCCGCAAAAGACTAGGCTATCCCTAGGGAAGATGATATGACCCCCCACGCTAAGCTTTCACTAGCTGTTTGGAGCTGCTGTTGTTTAAAGCTCTGGCAAAAAGCTTGTTCCCAAAATTAAGGGCAAAAAGGCCCAGCTTGCTCCCACAGATACTAGTGCATGCTGGGCTGAGAAATGGCTCCTGGAGTCTCTTCTTAAGCCAACAGCACATTACCAGCATACTCCCCATGCATTTCCACTCAAGCTCTTCCCTCTGCACTCCGAGTTCCTCCACACAGTGATAGGTGCAGAGGTTCAGCGAAGAGGCATTATTTGGTCTCACACTGGGGTTTCCTTGTAGGCTCCTGCCCTTGAAGTTTGTGCGCATCTCCGTTCACGATCCCGACAGGCAGCGCATCAAGCTCAAGCTGATCAATGGGCGCTCCTACTACCTGCAGCTTTATGCCTCCCCGGGTGAGCAGCAGCTCCTCTTTGATCGTTGGCTGTCACTCATCTACCTGCTGCATCACCCCCCGGACTGCTACCTGCGCCCCAATTCCTGCATGTGCAGAGACAACCTCAGTGTGCAAATCCTAGCAAGCGAGGAGGAAGAGGAGGTGGTGGTGAGTCCACAGTGGGCACAAGCCTCACCTTCAGCATATGCAAATAAGATAAGCTCAAATACAACCTGCCTGCAGTGTCCGTCCCAGCATCCACAGTTGCCTCCCATGATCATCCCCTCCCATATGGCTTCTCCACTGTCTCTTTCAAACTGTAAGTTAACCCTAAAATCTATGGTGCTGTAGCCTCTTCATTATCTCTGGCCCATCATATGCTGCATTGCTACAGCTCTTTCTCCCCTCACCGTCACACCATAAACTTTAGTCTCCTGATGTAGCTGTCTTGCTGTATGTTTGCAGTCTCTGATTTGCTACTGTGCTTAACTCCCTAAAGCCAGAAAGCCAGAACAAGGCTCAGGAGGATGCAGATGCAGAAGAGAAGGGAAAGGAGGAGGTGGGCAATGCTGCAAGTCCTCTTGGAGAGAGCAGCAGCAGAGAGAGCCTCATCCAAGGGCCAAGCACAGACACCAAGCCGGAGCTCAACTCGGAGTCCAAAGAGCATGAGAGTCTCACACAGACAGATGTGGTGAGAAATGAAGGGGATCTGGGAGAAAGGGCCAACAGCAGCTCACTGCACTCCAGCACAGCATTAGATCAGGCCAGGTATGTAGGTGGCAAAGGGGCATAGTGGTTCTGACTGAGGGGCCTGCCACACACCATTCTCAGAGGATGCCACATGGCATAGACCTCAGATGCAGGGGATCTTTTAATTCAGAATTGATTGGTACATTAAATCACTACTAAGAACCATTCCTAGTGTTGTAAACTTACAGACATCGAATGAGACACAGTCCTTCCCCTGAAGAGCTTCCATCTTAAGCCAGCAAAGAAAAGAAACAGGACAACAGGTGAGGGTGCGAGGAGAAGGGAAGAGTGGGTTTTAAGGAAGGATCTGAAGGATAGAGGATACTTAGCCAAAAGGGAGTGGGAGATTGTTTCAAGCCAAGGAGGAAATATGAGTGAAGGTAAGAAGAGCAAGAAGAGTATAGGTTGCAGGGAAGGTGGCAGGAGATTATGTAAAACTGTGAAGGGTTTGCTCAGATCAACATGAAAGCAATGCATTCTGGGACCTGTACTCTCCATGGGTGATAACTCTGTACTGAAGATCTGAGTGATTACAGTCTGCTTACTTTCATCTAAATTGGCTTCAGCCCTCAGGCTCCTGACAAATCAAACTGCAGACCTTGACTGGGCAAAGCTTAGGCAGCCCCGAATGTACCTGGCATGTCCATTGGTCAAGGCAAATGTGAGATCCAGACTTGCCCACACAACTAGAGCTAGTTTTGTCCTTGTCCCACAACTGGCTCCTGGCTGTGCCAGTAAGAGCTGCTGCATCCAGGGACATATGCAACTCCAGGAGAGGCCATAAAACACTTCCACTGCTGCCTTTCCTTGGGAGTTCATGTGGCTTTCAGTTCCATAGCACTTAAGATTGGCTATACTGGGTCAGACCAAAGGTCCATCTAGCCCAGTATCCAGTCTTCCAACAGTGGCCAATGCCAGGTGCTTCAGAGGGAATGAACAGAACAGGTAATCATCAAGTGATCCACCCTGTCGCCCATTCCCAGCTTCTGGAAAACAGAGGCTAGGGACACCATCCCTGCCCATCCTGGCTAATAGCCATTGATGGACCCATCCCCCATGAACTTATCTAGTTCTTTTTTAAACCCTGTTATAGTCTTGGCCTTCCCAACATCCTCTGGCAAAGAGTTCCACAGGTTGACTGTGTTGTTTGAAGAAATACTTTATTTTGTCCATTTTAAGACTACTGCATATTAATTTCATTTGGTGACCCCTAGTTCTTGTGTTATAAGGAGAAATAACTCTTCCATATTTACTTTTTCATACCTATCATGATTTTATAGACCTCTATCAAATCCCCCTTAGTTGTCTCTTTTCTAAACTGAAAAGTCCCAGTCTTATTAATCTCTCCTCCTATGGAAGCTGTCACACACCCCTAGTCATTTTTGTTGCCCTTTTCTGTACCTTTTCCAATACCAATACATCTTTTTTGAGACGAGGCGACCACATATGCACGCAATATTCAAGATGTGGGTGTACCACTGATTTATATAGAGGCAATATGATATTTTTGTCTTATTATCTATCCCTTTCCTATCGATTCCCAACATTCTGTTACATAAATAATTCTAGTAAATCAGCGAGACATGATTTCCCTTTACACAAACCATGTTGACTCTTCCCCAACAAATTGTGTTCATCTATGTGTCTGATAATTCTGTTCTTTACTATAGTTTCAAACAATTTGCCCAGTATTGAAGTCAGGCTTACCGGCCTGTAATTGCCGGGATCACCTCCGGAGCCTTTAAAAATAAATAAATAAATAAGTGGGTGTCACATTTACTATTCTCCAGTCACCTGGTACAGAGGCTGATTTGATAGGTTACATACCACAGTTAGCAGTTCTGTCATTTCACATTTGAGTTCCTTCAGAACTCTTGGGTGAATACCATCTGGTGCTGGTGACTTACTACTGTTTAGTTTATCAATTTATTCCAAAACCTCCTCTAATGCCATCTCAGTCTGGGACAGTTCCTCAGATTTGTTACCTAAAAAGAATGACTCAGGTTTGGGACTCTCCCTCACATCCTCCGCCATGAAGACCGAAGCAAAGAATTCATTTAGTTTCTCCGCAACGGCCTTGCCTTCCTTGAGTGATTCTTTGGCATCTTGATCATCCAGTGGCCCCACTGGTTGTTTATCAGGCTCCCTGCTTCTGATGTACTTACATTTTTTGCTGTTACTTTTTGAGTCATTGGCTAGCTGTTCTTCAAATTCTTTTTTTGGCCTTCCTAATTATATTTTTATATTTCACTTGCCAGAGCTTATGCTCCTTTCTATTTTCCTGAAGAGGATTTAACCTCCACTTTTTAAAGGATGCTTTTTGACCTCTAACTGCTTCTTGTACTTGGTTGTATCCCTGAGACAGGTGCTGCCATGGGGAAACTGAATCAGTTCACACACACCCCATCTGAGCTAGCCACGCCCCTTTCCTGGCTAGCATTAACCATCTCGATGGACAGAAGCTTGCAGCACCTTTGCTCTGCAGTAGCCTCTGCTCCAGGTGGAGCTTTCTGCCATGGGGGCCTTGCTCCTGAGTCTGGACTGGTGGTGCAGACCATGAAATGAATGTGGACCCAAAGTGATAAAGGCTGACCTTTGGGGATAAAATAGCAACTCTTCTTTCACTCCGCTGAACTCCACAGGGGCTGGGAGAGACTTCCAGAGGGAAGGAGCATCTGGATTATATCTTGGCTATATTTATTAGGCTCCCACCAACGTAGGGTCCTGTTCACAGCTCTGCCAATCCCAAGTAGACCGGGGCCCTATCTCCCAAAAAGTGGGAGACCGGAGTGACAGGCGTTCACGGTTTAGTGAGGGGATGGATATCCTGGCAGCACTTTTGCTGCGAATCACATCTGCACCAGGATATCCAGGTGAGTGTGACAGTACAGAGCCTACCAGTAATGATTGAGTTGTCTGTGTTAATCTGGGTTCTTTGCTTCCAGGGAAAATACAGCAGTGTCTGACAGGACAGACAAAAAAGCTAAGGATACAAACACATCATCACAGACTTCAGGTATGAAACAGATCCTGTTACATTTTTACATATTCATCCCCTTTAACTACTGCAACAGTTCCCCCCCCTCGCAGAGGTCAAGACTGAACAAGCTAGGCACTCCCCAACAATTAACATCCTACACCACTCACTGCCACACACTCCTGCACTCATCCCCTGCTAGGAAAGGCTAGAATTGAATCCCCTACAGGTGATGCTCCTTCACTGTTCCCGACAGTGAGATTCTTTTTATTTCAGGCTGCAGGGCTTGAGGCCAACTCATGTAACGGTTTCTTACAATAGTTGTTAACTACTTTATACTAAACAATCCGTTCCACCTTGTACTTAGCTGTGACACCCTGGGTACATCTACACTGCAGCAAAAGACCACAGCTGGCCCAGGTCAGCTGACTCAGGCTCAGGGGTAGGGGGGCACTTGGGCTGTGGGACTGTAAAATTGCAGTGTTGACATTTGGGCTCAGGTAGGAGCCTGGGCTCCAAAACCCCATGAGGGGAGACGGTCTCAGAGGCTGGGCTCCAGCCCGAGTGTCTACAATGCTATTTTTAGCCCTGCAGATCAAGCCCCTAGGAACCTAAGTCAGCTGACCTGGGCTCTGAGACTAAGTGCCACGGGTTTTTTAATCGCAGTGCAGACATACTCTCTGAGTACCTTTCCCAGACCTGAAGAGCTCTGTGTAGCTCAAAAGTTTGTCTCCCTCCCCAACAGAAGTTGGTCCAATAAAATATATTACTTCACCCACCTTGTCTCTCTAATAAGCCTTAGAAGTGTCTATTCAAGCAAGGACACTTGCCCTTCTCTACATCATGGCCCTGGTTGCGTTGGAATGTACTAGGCATGGCTCAGACAGCATGGACCATGCTAGAGACCATGCTGTGTGTTGTACAGAGACTTCCCCTCTTTGTACTAATAATAAACTCTTAACGATTCCTGCCTGCAGATGAACAAGTCAATCCATCTCCCTCTTCCCACTCCCTATTGTCTTGTTGTGTTCAGATGTCTGATGAGATCTTCCATAGGTGAATTTAGACTAAATAGAGCTCACAGACGCCAACATTTGGGTTCTTTCCAAAACCCACCAGCCCCACCCCCTACCCAAGAATTTTCCCCAAATACACTTCCTCTTCTCCCTTCAACGAACGGTTTTGTTCAATATCTTCATAAATGATCTGGAGGATGGTGTGGATTGCACTCTCAGCAAATTTGCAGATGATACTAAACTAGGAGGAGTGGTAGATATGCTGGAGGGCAGGGATAGGATACAGAGGGACCTAGACAAATTGGAGGATTGGACCAAAAGAAATCTGATGAGGTTCAATAAGGATAAGTGCAGGGTCCTGCACTTAGGACGGAAGAACCCAATGCACCGCTACAGACTAGGGACCGAATGGCTCGGCAGCAGTTCTGCGGAAAAGGACCTAGGGGTGACAGTGGACGAGAAGTTGGATATGAGTCAGCAGTGTGCCCTTATTGCCAAGAAGGCCAATGGCATTTTGGGATGTATAAGTAGGGGCATAGCGAGCAGATCGAGGGACGTGATCGTTCCCCTCTATTCGACATTGGTGAGGCCTCATCTGGAGTACTGTGTCCAGTTTTGGGCCCCACACTACAAGAAGGATGTGGATAAATTGGAGAGTGTCCAGCGAAGGGCAACAAAAATGATTAGGGGTCTGGAACACATGACTTATGAGGAGAGGCTGAGGGAACTGGGATTGTTTAGTCTGCAGAAGAGAAGAATGAGGGGGGATTTGATAGCTGCTTTCAACTACCTGAGAGGTGGTTCCAGAGAGGATGGTTCTAGACTATTCTCAGTGGTAGAAGAGGACAGGACAAGGAGTAATGGTCTCAAGTTGCAGTGGGGGAGGTTTAGGTTGGATATTGGGAAAAACTTTTTCACTAGGAGGGTGGTGAAACACTGGAATGCGTTACCTAGGGAGGTGGTAGAATGTCCTTCCTTAAAAGTTTTTAAGGTCAGGCTTGACAAAGCCCTGGCTGGGATGATTTAATTGGGGATTGGTCCTGCTTTGAGCAGGGGGTTGGACTAGATGACCTCCTGAGGTCCCTTCCAACCCTGATATTCTATGATTCACCCAACTCCGATACACTTCTTGGTCTCCCTGCTTCTAGCCTCCTGGCACAAACTGAACTTCTGTCTCATTCTCTGTCCAGGACCCCACAGACCACTGGACCCACTTCTCAAAGATCCCACCTTTGCTCACCTTTGGGGCAGTCTGTCAGTATGCCTGTGAAGGAGTCCAGTTGGCCACCTGTGAGCTCCTGTGTGTGGCTGGGTCAGTGATGTTCTCTTTCCTTCCCTGGAGAGTCATGTTCCCGTATCCATCTGTCTGGTTTCCATTGCCAGTGGGTCTCTCCCTTGTCCCTTTCCCTGCTGCCTGTCACAATATTGCCAAGCCCAAGCATTTAAAAATCATGAGTCAGGCCCAAAAAAGTCATGAAAATTTTAAAATAAAAGTCATCTTTTTTCCATTTGCCTTCTTGTTTGAGCCTTTGGGGGTGCACTTGAGTCACATTTTCAAGCTTTTCTGTGCAATTGTGAAACTTACTTATTTTAACAAAAGCCTGAGATTCTCACCTCACACACCTCCAGGAGCTAGGGCTTTGGGAAATGCACCAAATATCCCAAGAAAGAGTTGGCAGCACTGTCATCACCCTCTTTGTTTGGTTGCAGTGAAGGGGAGATGCAGCAGCCTTAAGACTGTGACGCTCTTTAGTGCCATTTCCAAAATACTTCTGAGAAAGGGGAGTGAGGAAGAGAAGACTGAAGCTGACCATGGATGATGGAGAAACTGAGACCAATCAGCACAGAGGAAAGAGAACAGAGACCCTAATCATGGGAGGAGAAGGTAACTTACAAGGGAAGGCTTCTGCCCAAGCCATTCATTACCACTAGAAATGGGGCATTCCCAGCAGTCTTCCCTATTCCCCATCCAGACCCTGAGGGCCTCCAACCCACATGTACCCACCACCACCACCACCACCTTTCAAGGCATACATCACAGGTCCCAGCTTTTTGAAAAGCACTAGATAAAATGAACTCAGAACTTGTGAGCACAGCTCCTTAAGGCCAGAGGAGTCATAACTGAACAGTCTTTGGCCATCTCACAGAAGTGAGTGTGACCCACTCACCTCCTGGGTGTGGTGTTCTGTCCCCTTTACTGGCACCAAGACCACTCAGAGAGAGATTAATGAGTCTGTTCTACAGACACATTCATATGCCACAGTCATATGGCTTTTAGTTCACGCAATATAGGTTCATGCACTAAGTTCCAGAGGTCCCACGTTCGATCCCACCTGCCGACAACCGGGGTTTGTCGGCGTTACATAAGCATGCTCCCCCACACCGCCAGTGCTGTGTGGGACTATCTGGGCTCTCTCCACGGCTGTGTCGAGTACTAAGGCCTGGCTACCGTGTATCATTCTCTGAGCCTGAAATCAGAGGGAAAGGTGCTGGATACAGCAATATCCCTCCACTGCAGGAATCACTGGGAGAGATTCTATGGCCTGTGCTATGCAGAAGGTCAGACCAGATAATCATAATGGTCCCTTCTGGCCTTAAAGTCTATGAATCTATTAGCCACGAGATACTAACAACTGAAATGGGACAAAATAAAGTTAAAAACAGTGTTCGATATAGGATGAGCTACATCAGATCAGATGAAGTGTCCCTTAGGTACCCTGCCTCTACTAGGGACCAGGACTGATACCTTGTAGGAAGGCAAAATCCTCAGAAGATCCATTTGAGGAAGTGAGATATTCCCTCCTGACCCTAGCAAGCTATGGGGCCCTGAATCATGAGATTTAATTTCCCTCATCTTAGCAGATATAACTATAAAAAGGACCATTATGATTCAGGTTAAGATTTCATCACAGTTATTTTTAGTAAAAGTCAGGGACAGGTCACGGGCAATAAACAAAACTTCATGGAAGCCCGTGCGTGACCTGTCCCTGACTTTTACTAAAAGTAACTATGACAAAATGAGGCTGAGCCAAGCCCTGCTGCGGATCGGGTGGGGGGAGTCCAGCATCTGCCACTGCCTGTGGCAGCTGGGAACTGCGGGGCCCTCTGCCAGCTGACAGCTCCAGCCCCGCTGACCTGAGGCTGAAACAGAAAATGTCACGGAGGTCACAGAAGTCATGGATTCTGTGATATAATCTTAGCCTTAATTATGATTAACTAGTCTGACCTCCTCAGTCCAGAGTCACAGTCCAGAGAACCTCACCCAGTAATTTCTGCACCAAGCCCATGACTTCTGGTTGAGTTAGAGTGTATCTTTTTAAAAGACATCCAGGTTTAATTTAAAAACTTCAAATGATGGAGAACCTACCATCTCCTCTTATGTCACTGTCCCTTACAGTTACATTATGGGCAAGTGTATACAACAGGGACTGATTGGTTTTACCAGACCTGTCATAATCAGAACTACCTGACTAAAGTCTCCTCTAATAGGTCACCTTTTTCCAGTCTAAGGAATCATTTTCTGCCATTTGTTCTCATATGCAAGTCCCATCAGGACTTCTCCCTCCATCTAGCTATCTTCACTGCCCTTATCTGGCCCTTTTCCATCTCTACCACATCTCTACCACACAGTGCTCCACACGAGGGTGCCCAACATTTGACAGCTCCTCATTGTGATTTGTTATCCTGCTACACTTTCTGATCCTCTTTCTCTTCTGGTTTGTTTGCAGGGAAGCAGAAGGGCAGTGCCCAGCTGGAATGATCCAAAACTGCTTCCATATAAGAATGAAGAGAAAGAAATAGAAGAGAAATGGATGGAGAATGGGAAGAAAAGTTTACCACCTAAAAGACTTATCCATTCCCTCCTTCTCATGCATTTTAATCCTTTAAAATTCAACATTCTTCTAAATATCAGTCAGCAACACTGTGCTGAAAAAGCCAATGTCCAGGCTAGAGAGAAGGCTGCTCTGGGACATTTACAATTTATATTTACAAGACAATTACAGCCGTCAGCAAGAGGGTCAGAAGGGACAAATTTTAAATACTCTAGCCTCTGCCTAGATTTTTGTTGCATTATCTTTCACACTTTTCTATTGTGTGAAATGCTCCTGATGGTCAGCTCTCAGAGAGTTGGTCATAACGGGGAACAAGTAAGGAGTTCTGGTTTAATCACAAGAAGCAGTTGCTACCCGCATGTACTGGAGCCGAATGCATCAGATACATCCAGGTAGAACTCAGTTGCTGAGCAGCTAAATTGTCAAGTACATTCAAGAAGAAGTCAAGCTCTGTTGCTAATGTATTAGTTATATAATGTAGTCTCTGCTCAAGCTAGATCTGGAATAGCAGGGGCTGTTGCAGGTCTGGACTGGTACATTGGCAGAGCTGCGTGAGGGGTCCAGAAGTGGAATAGTAAGGGACTCAATAAGCTATTTTTACCACCCCACAAGTAAAGATAACAGCTCCTACTCTGTAGAACTTACAATCGAACATTAGATATGACACAATGAGTAGAGCAACAAAGAGTAAGGAGGGAAAAGCAATAATACAGCAATAAAATCCATGGTTACTCAGTTATGGCACGTACACACAGATTCATAGATTAAGGTCAGAAGGGTCCATTATGATCAAATCAACATGTTCAACAGCCTAAGGGTTACTGGAAAGGGTTTAATTATTTTAAACATAACCCACTGGAGCCAAGAGCTTAACACCTACAAGGTACTGAGGGATAAAAGGCTAAATCCCAGTTTATAGCCACAAGAGAAAGAAACAAAAAAGTGACACATACCTCCATACTGGGGTTCTTTACTGCAGGGCAGGCTGCTGGTCTTTCCTTTTCTAGCCTGTCTCAGAATGACTCCTCTCTGGTAACTCTTATTTTATAGCCTAGCGAGGGTTCCCAGCCTGCCCTACTCTGTCACAGGCAGGACAGATTTTTTTTAAGGAGGGATTTGAATGAGAGCATCATGGTTTGGCAAAACCGTCAAAGTTGAGCTTGGTTGCATTGGCAGAGCTGTAGTAGGAGTGTTTGGCCTTGCCGGGAAAAACTGCAGAGAACTTCCAACCTGAGACTCCAGCCAATAAGAGAAGCCACAGCCAAGCAGGGACTGCTACACTGGGGGAGGGGGGTAAAATGGGGCCCAGCTGATGCCACCATCCCCTCAAGCACCTCCCTAGACTCGGAACTGTGCAGGGAAGACCCCCTCTTGTAGCAGGAGGGACCTAAGTGGTGCTTTTTCTTTCCTTCCTCAGTGTGTGGCCTTGGGGAAAAACAGCAGAGAGCAATCTGCCAGACTCCAACTGGTAGGGACACAGCAGCATCCAAAGCAGGGACATCTTTGGTCTGGACTGGACATTACAGTCAAAACCATACATTGTCCTCTGACTGATTCTCTGCCCTGTGCCAATTGGCTGTTTGCTCCAACCCTCCGCCTCCCGGCCACAGTCACTTCACCCAGCTTTGTCCCTCCTCTCCTCTCCTGCCCTGTCCTGTCTTCCTCCCTTTCCTTTTCTTTCCATTTAGCTGATTGCAGGGGCATGCAGAGGAATAAAATTTTGGCCACTTTTGGAGGGGTACTTTCTGTGCCCCCCCGCAGCCAGAGGAGCTGCCTTCCTCCCCCACCCACACAGCTGGAGAAGCTGCCTCTTCCCTCCTCCCCTCCCCCACCCCCACCCCAGCACCGGCACTGGTTGAGCTGGTTCTCCTTCCGCGGCCCCAGGACCGGTGGAGCTGTCATCTCCCGCCCCAGCCTAGGGCCAGAGGAGGTCACTCTCCTCGCCCTGGCACCAGAGGAGTTCTGTGCCCCCACTGATTGGAGGGCCATACCCCTGCTTGAGCGCCTCTTGCCCACACCCCTTCCTAAGTAAATCCATTGACCCACCCACCCAAAAAAGCAACCAATAAAAGCAAATTGTGGAACAAAACATGCCATTTGCTACTATCCCTCTGTCACTCCACTTGTGTATTCTGCCCCTTCCCCCATCCTGTGTCTATCTGGTCTATTTAGACAATATCATCTGCTTCCTTGGTGTAATGGTCTCCACTCAGAGTCTGGTTGGGAAGCGTGGCCTAGTGGTCATGGCCACAACCCCGGACTGCCAAGGAGGTTCTGGGGAGGGGATCCCGGGCCCTTCCACTCCACCGACCACCAGGTAGGTGGTTTCCTCTTTCCCTATTTTACATTTTGCAGGATTTGCTGTTAGTCCAGCCTGTCGCAGGGAGCAGAGCATGAGCGTCGCTTGGGCCAGATGTTCTTCCCAGCTTCAGCTGTAGATGACTACATCATCTAAAATAGACTGTGGTGTATGAGTTATGGGGCTACAACACCTGGTCCATAAGGCATTGGAGGGTTGCGGGTGCCCCATAAAGTCCAAAGGACATAGTTCAAAACTGCTACAGACCGAATGGAGTGGCAAAAGCATTTTTTTCTTGAGATTCTGGTGTGAGTCGGATTTGACAATACCCCTTTGTTAAGTCTAAGGTGGTGATGTACTGAGCTTCACCCAGCCATTCTAGTAATTCATCCACACAGGGCATGGGGTAGGCATCAAATTTGGAGATCGCATTAACCTTCCTGAAGTCAGTGCAAAATTGGACAGTGCCATCCGGCTTTGGGACTAATACGATGGCTTCACCACTCGCTGTGGGATTCCTCAATGACCCCAAGCTCCAACATGGTCTGGACTTCCTATTTTACCACCTCACGCACTTTCCAGGGAAGCGGCCGGGGGTTCTCC